CCTAGATTACACAAGACCGTGTCTCAAAATACACACACACACACACACACACACACACACACACCCCTGTGTGTGATGTGTGAGTGTAAGCAAACATAGGGGTTGGGGAAGAACACTCAACATTAGAGATAACCACTTGAAAATAGCTCTCACCTAAGCTCTCACGCTCTGCTCTGTGGTAGCCAGAGCAGAGCGTAAGACAGGGTGTGGTATGTGCCTAGGGAAATGACATCAGGATGGGCACCAGGATCTGCCAAGCGCCAGCCTGAGCCACCGCAGCTCCAAGAGACACATTCCCGTCCTTGGGGCATGCTGTCCACCTTTTATCTGCTGAGCATGATGAATGGTGTTTGGGGCCAGTGCTCAGCTGGGAAGACTGTTTTGCGGCCCTGGCAACAACACTGCCTTCCTCTCAGCATCTGGGAGCCTGAATATCCATCTCCCAGATGGCCCCTTCAGCCCTGCCCCCGATACCCACTGGGAATGTCACTGTACCAGGCTGTGGCCAGATCGGATCCTGATGGCCCACAGCCTCCATGCCTCGGGCTGCTGACGTTCTGGGCCCTTCCTTTTCATGAGCAGCTACAGGCATTTTAAACTACTTGACCCCTTGGGCCTGGTGGTAAACAAATGTAATAGCAGCAAGCAAGAAGGAAGGCAGGATAATCAAGAGTTGAAGGCCACCCTGGGCTATACAGCAAGGTCTAGCCAGTCTAATCTACACAAGTCTGTGTCCCAGAAATAAATTAAAAAAAAAAAAAAAAGGAGCTCAAAAGGGAACATTCATAGCTGCTCTGTGGTTCCCAAGAGCCCCCAAAGGAGAAGCAATCCACTATTATCCACAGGTGGACACACTTAAACGTCATCTATGTATTATTGTCTATTGCATACAATAGAATGCTATTTGGCGATAGACAGAACGAGACTGATGCACAGTACAATCTGGGCAAACCCTGAACACAGGAGGCCAAGTCAAATAACAGCGAGGCAATATGCTTAATGAACTGCAGGCATAGAAGGTGGATCCACAGTTCCTGGGCCTGCAGGAAGGCATGGGGATCAACCACAGGCCACACAAGGAAGCCCTGGAGTAGGGGAGTGACCAGGACTGTGCTAACCCCTGTAGGATCCTGCGCTCTCAGAGGGTGAACTGCGTGGTGACGTCACTGGCCCTTGGTGAAGCTTTGTGACAGTTTCTCCTGGCGGCAGAGGGCAGGGAGATGGCTGAGCTGAGGCTTTGGTGGGGAAGGCCAGAGGCAGCCAGCCCAGCAGAGAAAAGCAGGGAAGGTGTTCAGCCCTGCCACCCTGAACGCACCCAGCCTTCTCTGCCATCAGCTGCTAAGTGGCATTGGGCCTGGTGATGAGGGCTCAGCAATGGAGATCACCGCTATGTCCAGATCTTGTCCTGAAGAACGATCACATCTCTGCCCGCCCACTAGAGGTCGGCCGGCCTGCTCCACATTTTCTCCACTCGGAGAAGTTTCCAGACCAAATAAGGCCACGGCTCTTGCCAAGCTCCTGGCACAGACCAGAATTCCCTGTAAGTGCCAAGGTTGTCACTTGGGCCGGTAAGCTCTTCAAGCAGCTGGGTGCCTAGTAGCCCTCTGGGGCCACCCCTCTGGAGAACACGGCAGAAACCCACTGGTGACCCCTGACCAGCAGGGAAAGCGTTTGTCTTGGACCTGTGGCCACTTCAGCCCCCTGCACAGTGACTTTGCTGCCGGAGAACAACAGTAATGCCAGCCAGAGACCAGACCCTGTCAGCTGAGTCTTGCGCTACACTTTCTCTGACCTTCACAGCTACCCTGCAAAGTGGGTCCTGTAATGCCACATTTTACAAATGAGGAAACTGAGGTCCAAGCCTGGCAAACCTGGGGCTGTAGCATGATGACTAAAGCCTTTTACCACAAAGAAGGCAGGACCAGCGCCACTTAGGGATCTCCCTGAGAAACCTCTCACTCTATCCAACCCGCACAAGCCACTCCCTTCTAGGAGGCTGTGTTCCAGCGACCCAGAGCTCACAGCGGCTGGGGAGACCCCTGGCCGCCTTCTCCATTTCCTGGGCTAACCTGCCTAGCCAGGCTGTAGGACTTTTTTTTTTTTTTTCAAGCAATCAGACACATTTCCCTAATGAAGGCTCTCTGGGATGAGAAACACAAACTTTGAACTCAGCCACCTGTGAAGCCGGCATTTTCATGAAGCAGCAGTCAGGATGAGGGCCATCCATCAGGGGCTTTTGGGGCCTGAAGACATGGTGCAGGCCGTGGCATGGAGACCCGTGTGGAGGGGCCCGAGCCACACCTGTTCACTCCCAGAGTGGCATAGTTGTTGGAGGCTGGTCTGATGCGTGTCACTGGCCCTCAAGATCTCGTTACACCTATCCTTGTTTTGTAAACCTACCCAAGATGGAATGGGGTAGGCGTGGTTGAGGTTCCCAGGCTTTGGGGTTCAAGAGGGAATCATAGGAAATGGACAGATGGGAAGAGAGGAGGAAGGAGGGTGAGAAGATGGGTTAGCATTGGAGAAGGGTCCACGTAGGGCCATAGGAAGGACTCCAACAATGGCATGAAAAGGCCCAGATAAAGAACATAAATGAGTATCATGGGGTTATGTATGGAAGGTAGACCAGATGAGGAGGATTAAGGTGGATGGCACTGGATGGGGGCTGGGAGATGGATGGTGAGGATAGTGGGCCAGCGTAAGTGAAATATCTGCCCGGCCCAAGGTAAATAAGGCAATTATAAAATCTAATAGGTGTCTGTGCCTTATTGTTTGTGATAGCCCCACCGCAATGTTCTTAGGGCTAATGATAAACATTATATAGCCCAACATTTTTTTTTTTTTTTTAATTTACAACACATAGTATTTCTTCCACCCTGCTTGGTAAGGTAAGATAGCCTTGAGTGTGCGTACGTGTGTGTGTGTGTGTGTGTGTGTGTGTGTGTGTGTGCGCGCGCGCGCGCGCGCGCGCGCGCGAACTAGGGCTTTACATTTTCTCCAGGCCCAGCCTGTGCTGGCCCAGCTCCTCCTGGAGGGCCCCTTATGGGAGCTGTCCCAGTGGCAATATGGGACCTGGCCTTCCCCCAGTGGACAGGGACACTGGTCCAGCACACCCTCCATGCCAAGAAGGCACAGAGCCCGTAAGATGCAGATGTGTTGGGCTGGGGAAACAGCTCAGTGGGTAATGTTTGCTGGTCAAGCATGAGAGTTTGGATCCCCAGAACCCATGTGAAAGCCAGCTGTGGTAGGGAAAGGGGCGGCCCACCAAGACGATGTGAACACTTCCTGAGCACCATTCGGAAAAAGGAAACCGACTCCCCCTGACACATGCGCTGTCGTCTGCACGTACCCCCTTCCCACCCCGCACACAAGAAAAACATGTCCTAAAACATGTACAGCTGCAAGGATGGCTGGACCGGCAAAGAGCCTTTGGCAGCAAGTGACAGGAGCCCAGTGTGTACTTTATATAGCTAATGGACTTGCTAGTTTAGAATGCTGGGAAGAATGGGGCAGAGGTCAGGTGTGGCTGGATCCAGGCGCTCCAATGCTGTCAGCAGGCAAACCCCAGCCTCGTGCGGGGATCTGTTTCTCTGTGGCTTCCTTCTCTTCTACAGACAGGCTTCTAGGAAGCAGGCAGAGTGGTCGCTGGTCTCCAGGGCATCAATGTCAGCACTGGAGAACTGGTTGGCCCTGCTGGGGTCTGGCATTTTGGCAGGACAAAGGTGCTACATGATCCACGCAACTGTTTCCCTGAGCTTGATCCCAGGACTCCACAAGAGCTTGTGCCCATGGGTCAGGGGGACCAAGCAGCCCCCACTATAAGCCCTGCAGCCTTGGAAAGACACATCCGCATGGTACCATGGTCCCACTGCATCTTGGGAAGAGCACAGCTAACCCTACTTTTGGTGCACTGGCGGCAGCTCCGCTTGCAGCTCCAGCACTGAGCGTTGCGCTCGGTATAAGTGCAGCCACGACCATGTCCCCTTCCCAACAACTCAGTCTGAGCACCATGCATGGAAGCAATCGAGGAAGGCGACCATGGGAGCAGAATAGGGAGGGGGGATGTCACCTGACTTTTTCTGGGGAGATGGACCATTTCACCCCAAGTAGAGGGGTCACCACAGACTAAAGGAAGGGTTCTGTCTGAGTCTAACTGGGTGAATGGGTGAGTGCTAGCTTCAGGAGCACGGATGACCCTGAACAGCCTGGAAGACCACAGGCGTTGTTCACTCAGCAGCAGCTCTACCACCTGGGAGTCCCCTTGGGGCATTACCTAAGAGTTACCACCAGGTAACTGTTTGCTTCTTGAACAACCTCAAGGGGGTTGGGGCTTTGGAAGACCAAAGGCAGGGGACTGTCAAGGAACTCAGTCTCCTGAGGACTTGTGGACACATTATAGCTGTCCTGATTCAGGTGTCCATCGCCATGTCCAACCCCCAGGACACAGCCACACAACAGAGGGTGAAGGTGGCCCTGGCCCTGTCCTGGTGACGGCAGAGGTCAGGGTGGATAGCCACTTAGGACTGTAGTGTGACTGCAGCATGAAGAGCCTCCCCGGAGGGGGACCTCTGGTGCCAGGCTAGGGAAGCTGTGCTTTGGACAAAAATTACTCTTAGGGAGAACGGGCAGAGAGTAGGGCACGAAGACCCTCGTGGGAAGAGGGGCCCAGAGCCTGGATCCATCTTGGGGTTCCCAGAATCTACCTGAAGCCTGGGTTGACTGGCCAGTTACAGGGTGTCAAACTCCCCAATCTAAAACTCCATCCTCAATGCTAGGGAAGTCAGCTGAGTGGGAGTCCTTTCCTTCCCACAGATCGTGAAATCTGCCCAGCAATGGCCTTGCCTGTCCATGCTGCCAGGCCAGAAGTCACCTGTACCATCACTCTTAGGTGCCCGAGAGGTGCCACCACTGCCCGGTCCCTGCACGTGTGGGGTGACATCTGAGCCAGAAGTAAAGGGCACTCACCTCTGACACAAGTGAACAGTCACCATGTGCGCACCTTAATTTGCAAATAATTTATATTCTTTGGAACAAGATCCTGAGGCTAAGACACATCTGTCAAAGTTCCCATGAGCAACTGGCACAGAATGCTGGCGAGGATGCAGTCTCTGTGAGGGTGGACAGTGTGGCACCCTGCGAGGGCCCCCTCGCCCTCCCATCACAGTCAACAAACAGCAGAGGACAGGCAGACACAAGCTGGGAGCCTTCTGACCCTGCAGCAGCCGTCCCCCCATTCCTCGACCACACAATCTGTGCCCACTGTGTTGCTTCAGAAGACAGGCTGAAGGGCCGTGGCCAGCTGCCATGCAAGGCACTCAGTCTCAGGACATGCATCTGAGCAGCGCTAAGAGGGCCTTGCCTGTCATGACAGTTACTCTGATGGTGACCACGAAGGTCTCCTTGCCATGGGAGGTAGAGGGACACACCAGCGGAGGCAGAGAAACGGGTGGTGAGGGACTATGTCCCACTTGCTGGCTCTCTGCCCCACACAGTCCTGCATGAGGAGGTGACATCACGTCCCCCTCTCCTTCTCCTTCTTCTTGCTTGTCCTCTGGCTGCTGAGCTCGCCCAGCTTCTTGTCCAGCCTCCTCTGCAGCTGGGCCCTCTTGGCTGGGTCCAGGGTCCTGTCCTTGGTCCCACTGCCTGGGTAGAGCACTCCTTCCCGGCTAATCCTCTGTCGGGCGTGGGCTCGAGCCTTTTCACCACAGCCGTGGATCTGAAAGGACATGAGGGCCGGGGTGGGCTGTGGGCAGGGGAGGCTACAGCCTGCAGATCTGCGTCGGAGGGACCACCTAAGGCTGGTACAAGACCATGGACCCTCCCTTCCGCCTTCCCCAGGCCTAGCCTTCACAGTTGCCCACTGGGAGGCCTGCAGGGTGAACAGAGTTCCCACTGCTGTGCCTGTCCCTCTGCAAAGGCGTGCTTTACGTCCTGCGCCCCTACTGTTCACATCAGATTATGAGCAGCATCTGCTTCGCCCTTTACAGAAACCCCTTTAGGGAGGGCACAGACTGGTCTGGCTCCTCCTCCCCACATCCCCAGGAGGAGCCCTCACCTCGGGCAGGTGATGGCTGAGGCAGTAGCGGCGGCTGCAGTGTATGCAGAACTGGCCCAGGGTGGTGGTGCTGGCCGAGCACTTGGAGAAGCTACAGGTGTTGTCAGCCTTCACCACGGCTGACACCAGGGCGTCAAAGTCCTCCTCATGGGGCAGAGCCGTGGCTGGAGCTGGGGAGGAAGAAGGCAGTGCTCAGGATCCAACACTGCAGACAGCGGGACGGCCCACCCCCAGAGTCCTCGGTGGGCTTCACCATCGGGGCAGCCGGCAGCCTGCCCACATCACAGCCCAGCCCCAAGGCAGGAGAATGGGGCGCAGATCGCCTCTGAAAGCACCCTTGCACCCAGAAAAGCCTTTTGGGGAGCTCCCTGCGATAATTACAGGAGAAACGGAACCCAGGCCACATGTCAGTACCACCAGGGATGGAAGCTGCCCAACTCTGGGCTCAGCAGAAGTCCCTCCTGCTCTCAGCCAGGGGCAGGAAGTGCTTGGCAGTGAAGTGTCTTACTTAAATTGTGGTTGACGAGGGGTTGGGATGGGGGGATGGGGTCATGAAACACTCAGCAACAGTGAAAGGCTCCAGAACATACAAGCAAAAATCTCTTCAAAATCAGCAGGGTGGTGGCGGCACACACCTTCAATCCCAGCACTCACTCAGGAGAGAAAGGCAGGCGGATCTCTGTGAGTTCGAGGCCAGCCTGGTCTACAGAGTAAGTTCCAGGACAGCCAGGGCTACACAGAGAAACCCTATCTTGAAAAACAACAAAAAACCCATTCAAAATCAAATGTGCACTGCATGGTGCCAATGCTGAAGCCTTGAGTCTGAACACAGCGCTCAGCACTGGCCCCCGCCACCACGTCACACCTCATGTCGCCAACCTCAGCTGAGATCCCAGCCACCCTGTCAGAGCTGGGTGTTGCAGCTCCTGCGTCCCATCCTCACAGAGGCATCTTGTTAACTACAGATACCAGGCACAGCGGGACACTTTCCGCCCAGCACACCTCAGAACTTATCAAGTGGAACATCTTAGGATTGTGCTGTGTTAGACAAGTGTCCATCTGACTGGATGTAATGTATTCTCATCTTTGATAAAGAGTAAAATTTTATGCACACCAAAGCACTTCTAAAACAAAATTTTATGACTTACATGATATGACTTGCATATTCTCTATCTACATAGTCAGGGTCAGGTAAAGATTTCCCAGGTGAGGTCAGTGGACTGGCTCACTGCTTAGTAGCACTGGCCTCCAAGCCTGAGACCTGAGTTAGATTTGTGGAATGCAGAAAACTGACTCCCACAAGTTGTCCTTTGACTTCCATGTGTGCTCTGGCACACGTGCCCACATGTGCACAATAAATAAATGTAAAAGTGTTTTAACAGTCTTGGGTGATGGAGGGTGTGAGCACCAATGTTTAAGAAACACACTTCTGCCACAGAGAAAGCTTAGGGGTATAGAGATGCGGCAACACTCAGGGCAGCACCACAGAGCACACACATGTGCAAGGCAGGGAACAGAGTACGGGAAGGAGCCACACAGGCGCCCACGTAGGCAGGCTCCCGGTCTGTCCGTGGCCCACACACCTTCTTATGCATACTAGGCCAGGTGGCCATTGCAGCACCTACCAGAAACCGAGGTCTCCCAGAAGCCCCAGCTCACCCGTGTCCACCTACGACAGCTGCTTCTGGGTCCCTGCGACCTCACCCCCTCTCTGCCTGTCCCCCCACGGACCCCTGACAGCCCTGTAAAGGGCAAACCAAAGCCAACCACTCACTGGCTCCTGCCACATCCCAAATAGAAGCAAGTGGCCCGGAGAGGGCCTTGGGGAGGGTGCATCCCAATATGGCAGCACCCCCGGTGCGTGTGTCAGGAAATACGGACCAGGCAGAGCAGTCAGACCTGATGGAGGGTGAGGGTGGTTTCCCGACCCTCCTGCCTTCAGCTGATCATGTCTGCCAGCTATTAATCCATGGCCAGGGCCCTGAAGAGCACTGGCCAAGCAGAGCCTGAACCTCTGCAGAGCAGATGAGGTCCTGTGGACTCTGAAAGATAATAGCCTGAGGAGTAGGAGAGACTCCCAGGCTACCTAGGCCTTGTGGCAGGAAAAGCAGAAATGGCTAGGTCCAGGCTTGCCAAGGCACAGATGCAGTGCTTTTCCATCTGAGGCAGGGGTTACCCCCATTCAGAGTTCCTCCATTCAGTGTTCAGCTGGAGGGCAGCACTGTGCCATCTTGCTCACCAGCACATAGCCTAGCTACAGAGGCCATCCCATGAGTACCATGGCAGCCTGGGTCAGTGCCACAATCTTGACAGCTGGTTCTGGAGCTGAGAACAGCACCCGTGAGGTTTGGCTCACAGGAATGAGATGCCTCAAAGGGATCTGGCCTGTAGTCCTGCTGGCAGGGGCCTACTGAAGTGTTCAGAACTTCCTAGCAGCTCTGCCCTCTCTGTTTCGGAGCATGTGTGCCAGCTCAGGGGTGGGGGCACCCAGAGGATGTGGGCACAGTGCAGGCTGAACACAGCACATAGTCCACCTTGGCCCCAGCATGCGGCATTACAATGGTGTGCTCGGCAGGCCTGCGGTTCAGAGCACCTGCACCTGTGCTGCCAGTCAGGAAACGCCCTGCCCCATGGGATCCTCAAGCCTCCTTTCTCCAAGGGGACAGCAGCACTAAGCATGACAGGACTTCTCCTTGCCTGCTCCTGCGGGCTCTGGGGATGAGCAGGTGACCTGCCCGTAACCACCCCAGGAAGGCCAGGCCAGAGAGACAAGAGTCATGGGAAAGGCAAGATCCATGCGGCCAAAGGAGTCTAACTGCCTCCTGGGGTAGCAGGAGGCAGCAGGTGGCGGGAGACAGGAACCACATGGCAGCATGTGCTTGAGAGGAGATATGGTTTACCTTTTGTTTCTTTTTTCTTTTTCTTCTGTGGAGCCTTCTGTGGCCTCAAACCCCCAGCCGGGGGGCCCTTGGCTGGCTGGGCCTGGCCGCCTTGCTGTCGCTGTAGCCTTTCCAGGTGCAGCGCCTTCAGATCCAGCTGTGTGGGGCCGTGTGGCTGCTCTAGGGGCTGCTCTGCCTGTGGCTTGGGCTCAGCCTGTGTGGGGCTTGGGGGTGAGGGAGGCCTCGGGGCCACACCACCAGAACCTGCAGGGCTCTTCCTGCTCACCGTGATGTGCCGTGCCCTCCCCTCGCCAGTGCTGTCGTGCTTCAGCCCGAACTCCTCAGCTAACTGGTGGACTCGAAGCCTGTCGTGGGAGCTCAGAGACGTGGGGAACTCCAGCTGTGCCTCCTTGCCGGCCAAAAACTCCTTGATCATGGCCCGGAAGTGCTCTGTGCGGTCCATGCCTCCAGTTCTGTCAGAGCCACCTACATTAGAGCTGGGCTGGGAGTGGGCTTGAGAGCCTGACAGCTTCTCACTCGGCTTCCTTCGGCCCTGTCCGGCGGCTGCTTTGGCCTCTCGGCCACTCTCCTGTTGACTGGCAGGCTTCCTGATGAAGGTGGCAGGGCCCTTGGGCTTGGGGGGCCGGCTGTGGCCCTGGGAGCCCTCGTGGGTGTAGTTCTCAGGGACGATGTCATCCAGGTACTCAAAGGCTGTGCGCACCTCCCCATGCTCTGTGAAATAATCCAGCAGGGTCTTGAGAAACGTGTGGTTGTTGACAGTGCGGGAATCACAGATGATTGCCACGTGGCGCCGAGCACGGGTGACAGCAACATTGATCCGCCTGTCCTCAGCCAGAAAACCAACTTCACCTGGAGAGAGGCCAGAAAGGTGAGAGAGGCAGCAATCCAAGGCAGGGACCAGGCCGCTTGCTCAGGGACTCAGGACTAGTCACATCATCAAAGCTACGCAGTCCACAGCTGCCCATTTGCGCTCCCTGTACACACTGCCTGACTGGCAACTAGCAGGGTGGACACGGCATCTGTTCTGATGTTTGACCCACTGCTGCCAAGGGCAGTTCCATGGTCAGTGTTGCCTGGCAAGAAAGCCTCCTCCTCACGCCTGGGTCCGGAATGCTGGGAGCAGCTGCTATGGACACAGTGCAGAGCTCTGGGTCACAGCCTCATCCTCATCCATCTCCAGCCTGCTCCAAGGACAGTCTGCAAGCTCACCAGCTAGTGCCTGGATGCAGTTTTCTCGATGCATGGCAAGCCATGGCCATGCAAAACTCATGTCTCAGGGCTAGAAGATAGGCTGTAGGACATGAGGGACCTCCTCCTAGACAGGGTGACCAAGTCACCAGGGGTCCACCATGCCCCAGCCTGCCTCCCCAGTATTCTGCTCCCCAACCAGACTGAGTCTATTCCCTTTGCTGAGAACAGCATACTCCCTTCCCCAACACCAGGCTGGGAAGCTCTGTTCACAGGTCCTCCCAGGATGTCCCGCCTGCCCAGGCTCTGCTGACCCTCAGGGATCAAGACATGCTCCTTTGGTCCTGTGCTTTACACAAGCTCAGAGGTCAAAGGCTGTGGTGCTGCCCACACAGGAGAGTTCCACACAGTCAGCACACTCACTCCCAGGCTGTTCCCAAGGCTCCAGCGGGGGCTGTGCTACTTACCTTTCCTGTTGGACCTGACAAAGGTCAGGATCACCGCCTCCTTCTCTCGGCCTTGGAAGCCATCAACAGACTTGATCTCCAGGTCGGGGTGCTTGTTGGAGAGGCTCTGTCTGAGCAGATCCACCTGAAACAGGAAGCAGGGCCGAGATCTCATCACCATGTCAGGGGACTACGAGACCCATCATGCCTGGGAGCCCCGCCCTGCAGAAATGGCCACCATGGGCACCCTTCAGTGACCGCAACAGTAGCAAGCTGCTGTGAGACTGTGCGTCCGAGGCTTGAGGCCTGTTCTGTTCTTAGCCTGGGAGTGAGTGTGCTGACCGTTTGGGACTCTCCTGTGTCAGCAGCGTCACAGGGCTCCGCCTCTGCCCTCTGAGCTTGTCAAAGCACAGGACCAAAAAGCATGGTATTGACCCCTGAGGGTCAGCAGAGCCTGGGCAGGCAAGGGACGTCCTGGGAGGACATGTGAACAGAGCAGTGGAAACTGAGCTGGGGGCCTCACACACTAGGGAGAGGGTCTCTACCAAACAATGTGCTGAGAGGCGGGTAGCACTCTCGGTGAATTATGACATCTCCTTACCTCTGACAGTCTCGTGTGTGACGCTGGTGACCAGAATGGGCTGGCACTGTTTCTGGGGACCTTGCACTAGCAGGCAGCAAGCTTCTCCTACCAAACCAGATTGGGGCAGGGACACAACCTGGGCCACCAGCATGGTCTCTAGGACTATGTCCATCTGGAATGCTGGCATCAAACAAGGACACAGTAGGCGCCAGGCCGAGGTCAGGCTGGTAGCAATGTGAGGTACAGAAACACAGATGGTCTCTTGCTGGTGTCTTTTGGGCCCTAGACTTGGTCACCATGAGGTCACTCTAGCCCCGGACTTTGTAGTCACAGAAGCCAAGAGTCTACCCTGTCCTTCCAGCCTCTAGCTCAGTCCAATGATACAAGGAGACAAAGGGGGTTCCTCACACCTGAAGGTTGTAGGGCGCGATGACGGCAATGTCACCTGCCTGGACCCCCGCATCCACCAGAGCCTGGACGTGCAAAGTGACGAGGCGAACTTCGCCTGGGGAGGAGAGACGACAGTGGTCAGTGAGGGCTGCACCATGCAGCCTCTGTTCCTGAGCTGCGGGTAACACTTCCTGCCTGTTGTGAGCAGATCTTACACTGGGCCCAGGGCAGGGAGCATCCTGGGAGGTGACCAGCTGACCAGAGGTCAGCAGGCTGACAGAAGGGCTCTGAAGGACCCGGATACTGCTGACTTAGAGAGATTCTCAGCCCAAGATGAACAGCCACGCGTTCAGAGGAGTGTGGGAGAGGCTACCAGCCCTAGCAGCCCACACATCAGCTGTGCCTCCGGAAGAGCCCCAGGATGCTGCCCTGGCCTTTGGTATCCAGCTCCAAGCCCACAGTTCACCAGGAATGTACCCTCATCTCTGTACCCAGTGCCTCCCTACAGCAGGAGTGACTTGTTTTTTTCTTTTTAAAGGTTTTTTTTTTAACTTACGTGTAGATGTGTGTGTGTGTGTGTGTGTGTGTGTGTGTGTGTGTGTGTGTGTGTGTGTATAAGTGTAGCCATTTGTGCTCGGATGCCTGTGGAGGCCAGAAGAGGCCATTAGATACATTGAAGTTACAGTTACAGGCAATTGTGTCCAATGAGGACACTGGGAACTGACTATGGTTCCTCTGGAAGAGGAGCAAAGCTCTTAACTGCTGAGGCGCCGTTTCCAGCTGATGGAGTGATTTCTTATAAAAAGCAATCTGAGAGGACCAGGCGGTCCTGGCTGGCAACTCACCCGGGTTCCCCTTGGACTGGCTGTCCTCCTCCTCCAGCTCCAGCAGCCCACAGCCGGCTGTGTCTATGAGCAGCAGGGGGACACTTGTCTCTTCTGTGTCAGCCACACCTGGGAGGTCCCTGGCATAGGAGCGGACACAAGGTGGAACTGACCTCCTTCACAACAGCACTGGTCCTTCCCTCCAAAACTACACAAGGGCTGCTCGATGAGCCCAGCTCCTAGGAAGGCCCAGGCAACCATCTAGAAAGTGAATCTCGGCAGCCTCTGCTATCCCATCCCAAGCCCTCAGGGAGACACATTCCCCTCCAGCCTTCCACAGAGGGCCAATTGGGGCTGGAGCCAAGCTAGGCAGAAAGGTCAGGGAAGGGAGAGGCCAGGTCACTCACTTCAGGAGGTGTTCCGCCACAGAGGAATGGGCAATAAGCTGCCCGTGGTACATGGCCTCCGAGGCCCAGTGCGTGATGGCCTGATGCATCCGGTACTGCACGGTCAGCATCCGTACCACAGCAGCACCATGCTTCTCTGCCAGGCGCTCCATCAGGCTGCGGGACAGCCCAGCCAGTGCCGCCCTGTGACCAGAAAGGAGGGAAAAAGAGTGCTGAGTCTAGATGTGACATTGTGGGAGAGCAGGGAGACTGTCCTCAACCTCAGGAGCCTGTACTTCCCTGGCTTCCCACATGATGGGAGGGAAGGCTGGGCCACCGCACTCAGCATAACCCCAGAACCTGGAAACACACCCGTCCACTTCAGAGCAACAGAGACTTGGCAGGTGGCAAAGACACAAGAGTAGGACAGGGTCCAAGCAGATCTGAGGATACTTTGCTGCTTAGAAGATGGGAGAAGAACCGTGAGCCATCTGCAGTGGCTTTGAAAGGCAGGTAAGGCAAACATGGATCCACTTTGAAGCCTTCAGACCAGGCAACCCGTTTAGAACCAAGGTCCTGGCACTGTAAGCCACAAACCTGCACTGTTTCTAAGACACGAAAATGTTTCCTGGGCACTGGGAAGTGTGTCTGTACCAGCACTTGAGAGCTCATATTTTCAAGGGCAACTTCAGCTAAAGAGTGAGTTCAAGGCCAGCCCTGGCTACATGAGACTGTATCTCAAAACAAACAAACAAACAAACAAACAAACAAACAAATCAAACTCAGTGTGTTCCAAAAGATGGCAGTCACCACTATAGGCAGCCAACCTGGCTGAGTACATCCCAGGCCCATGGTGTCCAGGCATGGATACATTCATTCTCTACAGCTGAATCATTTCCACCTTATCCAAAGGACAATGAGTCTTTGTATTCCTCATGTGCCTGTAGAGGCCAAAAGAGGGTATTGGATCCTCTGGACCTGGAGTTGCAGAGCCAAATATGATTTGGGGAACCAAATCTGGGTCCTCTAGAAGAGCAGCTAGTGCTCTTAACTGCTGAGCCATCTCTCTAGCTCTGGGATTCAACTGATTATTAAGGACCACAGTCATTAAAGTAACTAAGGCCAAAGGCAGAACATATGCCTGTCACACCCCTATAAACCCAGAAGTGCACAGCACAGGCATTGGTATCACCCAACTTTTACCAGGGACACACAGGGTCCTTTTCACAAGGACAGCCAGATCCAACCCACAGCTCCCTAGAGGATGGAGCCATCTGCTGTCCCACTCTGAGAAACATCCCTTGGAGAAACCACCAGGCACACACCATGAGCCTTCTCACTCCTCCTCAGAGCCCTGTCCTTCTCATCAGGACTTCCATGCTCCCCAGAATCCTCCACTCTAGCAGTCCTAACCCTCCCTCTCCTGCCAAGCCTGGTTCTGAGGGACTGCTGTAAGCACCTTTTCCCTCAAGACACCCTGGCCTGAGCATCCCACCTCCAGGGCCCCCTACTCCCTGTGGGAGGTCCCACACAACACCTGTCCTGGCAATTCTTTTACCACCAGACCCTCTGAACATACAGAAAAGAGAAAATTTCAAATGCATCAGGGATCGGGACAAGGCCTCCTTGGCTGCAGGGGAGGCCACAAGCAGGGCAGAGGGCCCTGGCTGCTAAAATTGTCTGTTCTTGGTGACTTGTGTCAGACCTTGCACACAGGCCCACTGTGGGCTCTCTAGTTGGGAAGACAAGCAGACAAACAAATAAGCACTGTCAGGGAGTGATTCAAGCTGAGGAAAACCATATGAACCTTAAAAGGGACAGACGGTACCAACTGAGCAAAGTGGGCACAGGAAACCACATAAGGGTCTATCTGAATGGAGGGTAGGGCTAGCCAACACTCAGGGGAGCAGTGGTCCAGATAGAGGGGACAGTGAGGCAGGGCCACATTGAGATCCAAGAAGGCCAGCATGACTAGAGCAGTGAGCAGAAGGATAGAAAGAGCGATGTGAAGGGCTGGCCAGCAGACAGCACTTCCTCCACCCTCGAGAGCCTGAGCTGGACCACTTCCCCAGCCCTGTTGAAGATGTCTAACACACACTGGAGAACCCACAGCAGGCTGGAAGTTAGTTACCGCAGGCCAGCTTGGCCAGCCCAGGGAGGTTCTCCTAGCTCAACCGTCAAGCCTGCCCATCCTTCCCAGGGTCTTGGAGCAACAAGCATCCAGTGAGCAGGGGAACAAGCCAGCTCCATGCTGGGACCTGAAGCCACAGATATGAGGGGGACACAAAGCCCACTCTCACACATACACAGCCCAACAGATCAGCTGTGTGGATGCCTAAGTTCAGCGCAGGGAAGAGCTGCAGTTGAGAGCTATGCGACAGAGGGGTACACAGACCTCACGGTGAGCTTGGCACAGAGGCTGGCCCTGAGGGACAGTAGGGAGTGCGGGAAAGGGCCAGCACAGCAGGCAGGAGGTGTCTTACTTACTTGGGAGAGACAATGGTGGGTGGCAGCTGTCTGTGGTCTCCGGCTAGGATACACTTTGGGGCCCTCAGCAGAGGGATCCAGCAGCTGGCTTCCAGCGCCTGGGCGCACTCGTCCACCACCACCACGTCAAAGCAGCCCTCAGGCAGCAGCGCCAGCGGGCCATCGGGAGATGCACCTGGGAGGGACGGGGACCAAGCCAGCCTATTCATTTTGCTTCATGACCTAGTTTTATACTAAAACTACTATGTGGAAGGCCACGGGGAAGGCTCAGTGGATAAAGGAGCTTGCTGCCAAGCCCGACAACCTTAGTTCAAGCTCTAGGGTCCACATGCTGGAAGAAGAAAACTGACTTCTGCCCGGTGTCCTCTGACCTCCACACATGTCCACCAACACAAATACACACACGTACACAAAATAAGTAAATGAAAAATACGCTTTTTGGGATTTCAACTAAAATTTAAAAGGAAGGAAAAAAAAAAACACTAGCAGACATTAAAGTGGAAAAATATAGAGCCATATGAGAGTATTTGGTGGTACACACCTGTGTACCATCCCAGCACTTGGGGGGTAGAGGCAGGAGGATACAGGGAGGGTCATCTTTAGATACAAATCAAGTCTGAAGCAGCCAGAAGCCACATGAGACCTGGTCTCAGAAAGTATCAAAAAATCGGGAGCTGGAGAGATAGCTCAGCAGTTAGAACATATATTGCTCTTGCAGAAAACTTGAGTTCAGTTCCTAGCACCCCCGTAAGGTGGCTCACAACCATCTGGAACTCAAGCTCCAGAAGATCTGATATATCTGGCCTCCAAAGGCACCTGCACTCATTTGCATACATATTTAATAAATATTTTAAAAAATGAAAAAAGTGCTGGGCAGTGGTGGCGCACGCCTTTAATCCCAGCACTCAGGAGGCAGAGGCAGGCAGATCTCTGTGGGTTCAAGGCCAGCCTGGTCTACCGTGAAGGCTGCACAGTAAAATCCTGGCTCAAAACAAAACAACAAACAAATCATAAAAAAAATAAAACTACTTCATGACTTCATGATGGTGAACCTCATAATTAAACAAGGAGACAGGACCTAACCTAACTTCAGAGATTCAAAGTAAGTGCTGAGTGCCTGGAGAAATACACAGCTGTACCCTTTCACATCCATGACACTGTCTCTCCGTGAGTGACTCAGCAACAGACCAGGTGAGCAGCAGCCTGATATGACAGACATTCAGAACACCCCTCCAATACCAGAGCTCCCATTCCCATGGAATCTACACAGAACATTCTGGAAGACTGGGAAAGCCAGTCTCAAAAGACTGGTCAAGTGAAGGCGTCACGTGGACCTGCACACAGTACACATGGAGCCAAGCAGAGCCAGCATCAGAAAGGAAGCGCGGGGATCCCCCATTGTTTGGAGAGCACAAAACACTGCTAAACAACTGAGTCAAAACGGAAACTAAGGCCTCGTGACATCCTCTCTCCCCAACAAAAGCAAGTGAACACTTTGAAATGAATGAAAACAGAAACACAGAGGTTGTGGGCTGCCACAAAGAGTTAAAAGCCAGCGCCCCTTTCTTCTCAAAAGTGTAATTCCACATACCTACAATCCCAGCACCCAGAGACTGAGGCAGGAGCATCACTTGGAGTTTGGGGTCAGTCTGAGCTACACAGGAAGTTCCAGGCTAGGCCAGGCTACACAGTGAGCCCTAATGCTGCCTCCGCAAAATAAGTCGAAGGAAGGAGTGGGGAAGATGGCTCAGGGGGTAAGAGCACTTGCTGTGTAAGTATAAAGACCTGAGTTCCAACTCTCCAGTATCCATGTAAAAAGCAGGGAGTGGCCTACAAGTGCCTATGACTCAGCACTGTTAGGGGTACTGGCAGGAGCACCGCGGGGGCTTGTTGGCCACCAGTCTAGGTTCAGTGTCTCAAAGACACAGTGCAGGACACCTGACATCTTCCTCTGGCCTCTACATGGGCACACATAGCCACGCACACACACACACACACACACACACACACACACACACACACACACA